CTCCAAGCTGATGGCTATTAACCCAGGGACCCAACATCTTGTCTCTGTGGTGTGTGCATTTGTGGGAGGCAGCCAGGCTGAGAGCCTCTGAGTCTTTGCACTACAAGAGATGGGGACATCAGCTCTTCAGCTCAAGGTGAGCGCTCTACCACTTGAGCCACAGCATCACTTCCAGTTTTCTGGTGGATTAGTGGAGCTAAGAGTCTCACAAATATTCCACTCTAAATCTTCAACTCTTCGAAGTTGGATGCTAAGTGAAATGAACCCCAAGATATGGACACAAGAGGTCTGCCTTTATTGTTATTGTTTTCAATGTACCACGTGATTTTTGTTGCTGCTGTTGTTATTCCCTTTGTATGTTCATTCCCCTCTTGTCATTGTACTTGATTTTGGTACCCTGCATCTTGTATATACCTATGTCTAATCTGGGGAGGGGAAGGGGAATAACAAGATGCAGAAACAAGGACACAGGATGACCCATTGCAGCAATGATACTCACAGGCCAGTATACTGGAAACCAACTTTACAACTTGGAGGTGGGGGGATGTTGGTGGGAGGGAGGGAGGAAGTAGGGGAGGTGGGGGAGGGAAGAGATAGAGAGACAGTAACAGAGGAAGGGGTAACAATGATCAACAAGTAATATACTCATCGCCTTACTCATGTTGAAACCCCTCTGCATAGCATCTTTACAATAAAATTTAAAATAAATAAATAAGTTTAAAAAAAAAAGAGGTGGGGACAGAGCTCTGAGCTTGCGGAAAGCCTGCCTGGGCCTAGCTTTGGGATGGATCCCCAGGTTGGAGTTGGGGGAGTCAAGTCAGGGAGGTAGGCGCCCACACTTGGTTCTCAGAGTGAGCTCCAGGCTGTTGTCCCCAGAAGAGGAGATCTCAGGGGAGGTGAGAGTCCTAGACACAAAACAAAAGGATAATAAGGGAGGAAGCCAATGAAGTTGCTTATCTCATTTATTTACTTTTCTTCTCCCATTTCCTCTGATGCTCCTTCAACTAGGCTCCTGGGCTGGTCTCCAGTTTCCTGGCCACTATCTGGCCAACAACCTCCCCCATCAACATTCTCAGCCCCACGCTTCTCCCAGTAACCTCTTTTGCAGGCTCTGCTGCGGGCTGTATTTACCACCACGGCAGGATTTCCGCAGTGATAATGGGGAACAGCCATCTCTCCTTTCCTACAAGGCCGGTGGGGTCCATTTACACCTCTTCTAAGAGCATGGCATTCCTGAAGTGTCTTTCCTCCACTCAGAAACTAAGCCAGCTTCAGTCATGGGTTCTTCTGTTCCTGAATGCTGAGGTTGGAGAGTTTTCTTTTGCTTTTCAGAGTAACACCTGTTATTACCATGTTGGTTGTACATTATGACATTTCCATACACGCATATGATTTATACCCATCAATACTCACCCCTCCCTCTCCCTCCTCCTTCCAAGCAGTTTCCAAGTTACACTGCTGTTAGGTGTGTGTGGATATATGTATGTATGTATATGTGCATGTATGTGTATACATAGAGATATGTGTGAATGTGTATTTTTGAGGCCTAGACTTCACAGATGAGCAAAAACGTGAGATATGTCGCTTTTTGAGCTTGGCCTCTCTCTTTACATGATGATCTCCCGTCCCATTCATTGTCCTGTAAATGGCAAAATTTTATTTTTCTTTACAGCCGAGTGATATTCCCTGGTATGTAGTAATATTCCCTGGTATGAAGGTACCATATTTTCGTCATTATCCCGTGATTGTTGGGCACCTTGACTGATTCCACCGCTTAGCTATTGTGAACACAGCTGCAGTAAACATGGGCATGCAGGTATCCTTCTTGTATAGTGATTTACACTCAGTGGGAATTTGTTGCTGTTTGGTCGGCCATGGGGCTTGAATTTGCATGCCCGGGCACTGTCCCTGAGCTTCTTTTTGCTCAAGGCTAGCTTCTTTCTGCTCTACCACTTGAGCCACCGTGGCTTTTTCTGAGTAGTTTATTGAAGAGTCTCATGGACTCATCTTTCTGCCGAGACTAGCTTTGAACCATGATCCTCAGATCTCAGCCACCTAAGTAGCTAGGATTACAAGCGTGAGCCACTAGTACCCTGTGGAGAAAAATGTTTAAATAAAAAACCTGCTCTGTCCTGTCCTTCGCTAGTGCCTCAAATGAAGATATAAGAAGTATTGAGGTGAATGTCAAGTTGGGTGGGTTACTCACAAGTCTCTGGTCTGAGCATTATGAGAAGAGACCTCTAGCTGCCACGCTGGCATCTGGGACTATTGATCCATCCTTGTCTACTCATATCCCCACCAGAAGGGGCTCCAGTGCTCCCTAGTGGCCATTCTCATGGAACATGTACCCATTCCACCATATTGATTTACTCTGGGGTTCTTTATTTAAAAACAAAAAACAACAAAAGCTCTCACAGAAGTGTTCTTTGTGATTTTTTTAAGTTCTTATTGATATGTGGCATACATTCAGATATGTGACATACATACATTACACACTCAATAAATTTTTCTCAAGTGTAAACTCTCAGGTAAGAGCACCTAGATGACTAACAGACCTTTCCTACCCCAGCCCCATTTCTCCCCACCTCTTCCCTTCCTTGGGGAAACTGCTGTAACTTCTAGTTTATGGGGTTTGCAGGTAAGAATTTAGATTCCAGATTTGCACAGAATGCACTAGCTTTTTCTCAGTCAATAGGGGAGGTTAGCTGCTTAATCAAGGTGTCCAAGGTTTTTTTTTCGTTTTCGTTTTTGTTTTGTTTGCAACTATCAAGTGCACGAACTCTCCCTAACATTACATAACCTGCAGGTCTGTGATATAGTCTGACATCTTTCCTGTCCCTGTTCTACCAGAAATTTTCTTTCCAAGCAGGAAGTCACAGAGACTTGGACTTGGTCCATCAATGGGGGTTTACAACTTGGCATCATAGGAAACAGCTCTTGCAGTTGTGAGGGCCAGTCAGTGCTTTCTTCATGCCCATGGAACCAGTGCCTTTGGTAGGACAAATCCAGATGGGTCAACATGTTCTCCTGTGCACTGTCATCCCTCTTTTGTGGAGTGGGAGAAGCACATTTTCCCTTCTGCTGCTGGGTGCTCACAGGAGGTGTCTGCAAAAGCTTTCTGTCTAAGAGAGCCTTGTAAAGAAAAGGAAATGCCCTTTTCCTTCAGGACTTGGAAAGGAAGAGACACCATGGAACGATTTTTTTTTCAAAAATTTCCCCAGCCTCAAGATCTGTATTTGTCAGCTTGCCATCACTGTGACAAAAACACCTGACGTATATCACCTTATAAAGAAGAAAGGTTCTTTTGACTCACAGGATTTTTTAAAATTTGTTTGTTTGTGATGCTTTTGTTCACCTGTACTGGGGTTCTTACTCTTTAGGCTCAGGCTTTTCCACTTCGTGCCTACATCTCCAGCCCTACTTTTTTTTCCCCTGGCTCTTTTGGAAATAGGGTCTAGAGAATGTTTATGCCTTGCCTTGGCATTGAACCACAACTCTCCAGATCTGAGCCTCCTGAGTAGCTAAGATTCCAGGTGTAAGCTATCATGACCCAACTTGGCTCATCGTTTTGGAGGGTTCATTTCATGGTGAGCTGATTCACTGTCTGGGGGGCATATAACAAGGGAACGTATTAAAATGGAGAAGGCTGCTTCTGCCTGGCTCCCACAAGCAAGGAGAAAGAGAAAAGGATGAGTCCCAATCAACATCCTCTTCATGGACACCCCCACAATGACCTAACTTCCTTCCGCTAAGCCCCGCCTACTAATCTTCCAATAGCACCAGATGCTGAACACCAAATCTTCAACACATGGGCCTTTGGGTATACTCATGATCCAAAATATAGAATCTCCCTCAGACACAATGGAGCTCAAGCTTGAAAAGATGGCCCGGGTCATAAGGTTGGTTAACTACCTTATGTCTAAGATCGTGTGTCTAAGACCTTGTGTCTAAGATTCCAACTTGAATATTCCAGGATATCAGGATGCCATTCATTCCTCCACTACACAGACAGACAGACACACAGACACACAGACACACAGACACACACACACACACACACACACACACACACACACACACACAGCCTATGTCTCCTGTTTAACTCCCACAGAAGAGTATGCCACTGGCATAAAACGCCCTTACTCGGCTTTCCTACCTCTCTGGGAAAACACTGAACAGAAGCCCTTTTTATTTAATGTTTATGCTCAGAAAGAAGAAAAACTCACAGAAGCCACATTGGGATCCAAGAACGTTAAAAACATTTTAACAATCTTGATGCAACAATGCCCTAAGTTGGGGGGGGGCAGTGGAAGGGGGGGAGACGATGTGTCATTTCATATGTTTATAACAACATCTGATTTAATATTATACAGTTTTGCTTAGTCACAAACCAGAACAAATACTTTCAGATTTATGACATCCTTCTATTGGGAGACTTAAGTAATCACAGTTAATAATGTAGTCATTCCGCAGTCCAAGGAAAAGCTTTATAATACTTTGGGACCTCGGATTCCTGAGAGGCAGGTTATTTTCAGGAAGGATTTAAGGTTTTAAATCTCTCCCTGAAGCTTGAAATGCCTCTTTTCCAGTCCGCATGAGAAGAGCTTGTGCCGAAGCTTGGCTGTGAGGCAGAGACAGGAAAACCAGGTGGCATTCACACTCTGCCTGAGCGCGGAGGGGATGTGGCAATGGATCCCTGCCATCCTTAGCCTGGCCTTGTCTTTGAGGAAAAGAAACAAAGAGGAAGACCCTATCATTGGCTCCTGTGCTTTTGTCATTGCCAGTGCTGTGTTTGGAGCCTTCTTATTTGTTGATTCATTCAAATCAATCACTGATTTGTCTTACACTATTAATTATTACCTTATTGCCTTTAAGTAGTTGTACAAAGGAGTTTCAGTCCAACATGTCTGTTTGTGAGTACAATGCATCTTGACCAATGACCTTTCACCGTTCTTCCCCATCCATGTATAGAGAGGGACTGAGATTGAGTAATGTCTCTTCTCTTGGGCACGTCCAGGTCAATCAGGATTGTAATAATGAAGCAGATTATAGGGATCTAAAATCCTCCTTGCACACTCAGATGGAAGGACTACAGAGATCTTATCCTTTCTACTCCAAAATTACTCTGTTTTTAAAATTCAGTACATCTAGCCATTATGCTTATGGTCAACCCAAAGAGTGGGAGACAACTCCAGCCCAACATCAGGCTGCTGTGTTATAGATAGACAGGCAGAGGGGCCTGGCCCTGATTCTAAGACAGCTCATTACAGTGTGTTCTTTGAGGTCTCTAGACAGTCAAAACAGAAAACGGAGAACATCTTCTGTTTTTCATCTCAAATTATTTCCTGCCACGTTCACCAGCATGACTTACTAGAAGTTATCCAGTAAAATGAAACGGACTCCTAAAGGTACCACAACAATAAAACACCAACCAATACAGGATTCCAGTGTCCTCTCCCACAGAACTTACCTGGGCAAAATCCAGTTCCTGTGCCCCATGAACTATCACTCAGAATGGAAGAGTCTTTCTAGAAGATTCTTCTAAGGGAACAAGTGCAATCCAGTGTTGAGCATCTATTGACAAGCAATTGTAGTTCACTGGAGAAGTTAGTGACAACTGGTTTAGCATACCTGGGGGGAGATGAACTCACCCCAGTAAAAATGCTGGAAGAATGCTGGAGAGATTACTGCCTTAAACTTACATCTTCACAGTTCAAAATAAAAACACTATTAAAACTCATTTCTAAAATCATATTAAGTGAAGTAACCCAGTCCTCAAGAAATTTAGGTCCCATGGTTTCCCTTATTTGCAAAAATTAGTATACATACAGGATAATCGTATCAGATGAGCTCAAAAGCTCAAAAGCCATGTACTTACGACCATATAAGATGATGCTAAGTGAAATGAACCCCAAGATATAGACACAAGAAGTCTGTCTTTATTATTATTGTTTAAAATGTACCAAGTGACTTTATGTTTTATTGTTGTTGCTGTTGTCTTTGTATGTTCTTTCTCCTATGGCGTATCCCCTGTTGTCACTGTACTTGATTTTGGTACCCTGCATCTTGTATACACATGTGTTTAATCTGGGGAGGGGAAGGGGAATAACAAAATGCTGAAACAAGGACACAGAATGACCCATTGCAACAAGGATACCCACAGGACAGTATATTGGAAGCCAACTTTACAACTTTGGGGGAGGGGAGGGGGAAGGATAGGTGGGATGGGGAGGTATGGGAGAGGTGGGGGAAGGAAGGGATAGTGGGACAAGAACAAGGAAAGGGGTAAAAATCATCAACAAGCAATGCACTCATTGCCTTATTCATGCAACTGTAACCCCTCTGTACAGCATCTCTATAATAAAATATAAATAAATAATCTGGATATAAATGAAAGAAAAACTTAAAAAAATAATAAAGCATTTCCAGCAAGGTGCCAGTGACTCACACCTATAATCCTAACAACTCAGAAGGCTAAGATCTGAGGTTGGAGATTTGAAGACAGACTAGGCAGAAAAGTGGGTGAGATTCTTCAATTAACCAAAACGCCAGAAGTGGAGCTGTGGCTCAAGTGGTAGAACAACAGCTTTGAGTGGAAAAAGCCAAGCAAAAGTGTGAGTTTAAGTCTATACCCGTGCACGTGCATGTGTGCGTGCGCACGCACAGACACACACACAGTGTTTATTTTCTGCCTAAGAGGCTTAAAATACAGACACCACTAGCAAAGCCCAGCGCTTCTGAGTGTAGCTTAAGAAAGGGGCAAACAATGCTCATCTGCCCTACAGAGCATGCCCAGAGCACTGTGGGCAGCCACGCACCTTTCCAGCAGCAGTGACCATACCACACACACATGCCCAGGAAAGTGACTTGTCCCACAGCAATCAAGTGTTCAAGGAGCAAGGAGGCTATATTATAATTAAACTTTCAAGACACAGTGTAATTTAGAAAAATGTTGGCTAGAAAACATGTTGTGAAGATCTGAAAGCTTTCTTTCCTTTTCAAAAGCTCCGTGCACATAAAGGGTAGAATACAGCTTTAAGAACTAAGATTCACCCCATCAGGCGTTAATGGTGTCCAGAAACTATGTGAGCAATCTCACTCGACATCCTCAAGACATTTATATCTGTCCATGGTGAAGCCAAAGGGGGCACATTCGTTCTCCCGGTCTTTTGATAGCACGTATACAAGATCTTTTTACTACACCAAAAGCTCCAAATATATGTTTTAAGGCTTCAACTGCCTTAAAATATAGACTCACATTTATCTTGGCCACATTAACGAGATCTGTTTGACCAATACATTTATATTTATGATGACTTGAGGCAGATTATAGTTGTTAAAACTTGTCCCTGGGACATGAAAACACTCCTCTGTCATTAATACATTTGGTAATATAAACTATGATGTCAGGTCAACGTAAAGGGTAAAAACGTTCCTCAAGTATGCACACATCATTTTTTAAAGCAATTGAGCCTAATGGAATAACAGAGGTCATCATAACAAACCATTACAGTCTTGTCTTGGCAACTCCAGCCACAGAAAAACCTCCAAGAAAGGCTCATCATTCCTCCAATGTTATGGCGTCCGGACGACGGGAATGGCTTGCAAATGAGTCACATGGGCTCAGATCCTCGGTAGCTATGTGAGCACTGGACAATCAATTATTCATGTGTTTACAAAGAGCTTTCCTGGTTGATGTGAACCAGAGCCGCTTGCAAAGAAGACCCCTCCAGCTGTCCTCCGCCACCCTGAGCCTCCAGCTAGCCAACAAGCTGCTCTAATTGCTTGGACGAGTCCTCTGGAAGGTACCTCCTCCCTACGCCAAGGAAACTCACTCTCTCTGAGATTTTATTAGGTGCAAAAATATTCATCAGAAACAATCCTGACAGTGCTTTATGAATAGTACTCTCAGAAAACCTGTAAAAAAAAGACAAAGAAAGGTTAGACTTGACTCTGGTCCCCTCCACTAAGTGTAAGAGTCTGGGTCTGACAAAATAAAAAGTACATGAGAAAAAAGAATGAAGAGAAAGAGCCCAGGGCTGTGAGTTCCTTGAGAGAGACAAGGAAAAGAGCATTCTAGAATGTTCTGTGAAGGTAGAGAAGATGACTGGAGGACCAGAAGAAGGGAATGAAGAAGACTGGTCAAGAGCCAAGAGTGCCCATCCGACATGGGAGAAGTAAATGGGAAAGTACTTCTCAACCCCTTTAGTTATTGAACCTACAAGCTGTTCCAGAAGATTAATAAAGCGTAAGTGCTGTCTCTGAGCAGGATCCAAAGCATGGAACCTGGTGGCTTCCCTGGTCTCCTTGGAGCTGTGTTTTGTGTTTTGAGGGGCAGCATGGCATGCTACAGGGTACCATGTTTGCTGGGATATGCAGTAGTGTGGAGATATTCCATGCCTTTTTGAGTTACAAGAGTTTGTCTGGACAGAGTTCCATCATGGGTTGAGAAGCATCACCACGTGCTGTCATGGATGGCTTTCGTTTTCTCACTTTTGGAAGACACCTGTGTGGATCCACACTACCGGCAACCACCTCACAAACAGCAAAGCACCAAACACAGAGCCCTGGGTTCAGTTTCTATTCAGTTTCAGAATCCTGTCTGCACTAAGCCACTTGTGTCTTCTCCAGGGCCCATTAGGTAGGCTACTTGCTGGCCTCTTTTCTCTCAGCTGACCTTAGTTTCAGCCTACAAAGGGCTTCCTGGGGGAGGTGTTGGCCCAGGTTACTTGGACAATTGGTTTAATTTTTTACTTCAAGTGTGCCAAAAAAATTGGCAAGCATTTTCCAATTAAAAAAAAACAACACAGATACACACCTCTTAACTTGTAATTTCACCCTGGAGTTCAACTAGACCTCAGTGATTACCGAGCACTTTCGTAAAACCCAAATGAAAAAATGCAGAGCTGTTGGTACAACTCCGGTTTGCTCAACCACCCCTCAGGCATAGGCATCGGCCTGGGAACTAAGTGAATTAAGTCTTCTTGGAGAGGAACCAGATCTTAGCCATGTATTAGAGGTGTTGGCTTTGCATGGGTTTTGTTGTTGTGTTGTTTGTTTGTTTTGGTGATACTGGAGTTTGAATTTAGGGTCCCATGCTTGCTTGGCAGAGCTTTACCACTTGAACCATGAACCCAGCCCTCAGCCAGCTTCCGAAGTCCAATTTCAAAGCAAGAAATTAGTAATATCGGACTCCAGTCAAAGAAGATTCTATTTATTTTTTCAGTTTTTAGAACATTTTTTCATGATTTAGTCAACTTCTGACTGCAAGGAAAAGACTAAAAGACACTGAAAAGTATGTACCCTACAAGATGCGTTGAGTTGAATCATTGCATCCTAAAAACTGAGTTTCAACAAAACACATGCCACATTTCCTCTTCCCCTTTGGGAGGTGACATCACACACCTCGTCACTTTTCTTCCCCTTCGAAGACAACAGAATTTTTTCCACCCTGAATTTATAAGGAGCTTCTACTTATGATTTGAAACCTGTGTAAAGGTAGAAGCAACTTCTAGAGCCACACAGCAGGTGTAGCTCAGGGAATAAATGTACAGCAAAGAAGTAAAGAATGTCTGGGGCCTACCTTCTTCCTTTAGAAAGAAGTCTTTCTAGAAAAGTACAGATTGTTATTTCACTCCTCCCACAAGGTGAGCTGAGCTGCCATTCATCACCACTAGATGGCATTACCTCCTTCTCAATCTATTTCATTTTGTTCATTAGGAAGGCACCTTGGCAAGTGGCTCACGCCTATAATCCTAGCGACTCAGGAGGCTGAGATCTGAGGATCTCGGTGGTTTGAAGTCAGCCCTGGAAGAAAAGTTCCCATGAGACTCTTATCTCCAATTAACCACTCAAAACCTGCAAGTGGAGTTGTGGCTCAAAGTGGTAGAGTGCTAGCCTAGCCTTAAGCAAAAGAGCTCAGAGACAGCTCAGGCCCTGAGTTCAAGTCCCATGACTGACAAAAAAATAAAAAGGCACCATCCTATGCTTAAGCAAGATCAAATCTCACTCATTAGGCCAATTGTCTTGTTGGAAGGTACTATTGAGTCATTTGTAGAAAGTGTTTGATATTTTGTTTCATGGGGCAGGGGGAGTAAAAGTAAACAAACAGAATTACTTTTGTCTCCTTTTATGACCTTACCAAAAAAAAAAAACGAATCCAGACCTAAGGAGAAATGTGAATTGACATTGCAACCTAATTTGGGAAGCAATTTAATTTGCATTCTATGTCTCATGCACACAAATCATAAAACCTTCTGAAACTTACTCCTGGCTCACCCACTCATATTCTTTCTTATTCCAAAAGACGAGTAGAAAAGATGAGAGTGATGTTTATGATGCTCTTCGCAGGAGGAAGAATGAGTCCGTGATCACAGTTAAACAGGGTGTTTTCAAAATCCCACTCTTCCGGGCTGGGAAGATGGCTCAGTGGTAGAGCGTTTGCCTTGCATGCATGAGGCCCTGGGTTCGATTCCTCAGCACCACATAAGCAAAATGAAAAAAGCCGGAAGTGGTGCTGTGGCTCAAGTGGTAGAGTGCTAGCCTTGAGCTGAAAAGCTGAGGGACAGGGCCCAGGCCCAGAGTTCAGGCCCCAGGACCAGAACCCCCCCCCCAAAAAAAAACAGTTCAAAATCCCACTCTCCTCTAAATCACTTAATGGAATCCTACTTAAAATGAGCAAGACTCCTTTGCTCTGTGGGACCCAGGATCCAGATCCAGATCCAAAAAGAGGAAAAACTTGCATCTGAGATCTGCAGAAAATAGGACGCGGTCGGTTCAGAAACATCGCGCTTCATGTGTCATTGAAAGACGTCTGACATTCCAGAACCATCTGGCTCCCACCGGGCCCAGCAAGAACACAGGGTTTCCCACTTGGACTGTCCCTGGCTTCTCCAGAACATAATACTGTCCAAAGAGGGGCGAGTTTCCATATAACTTTACTTGCAAAGGGTCACACTGGCGGTAACTGCAGCATGAGAGAGAAGGCTATGAATGACAGCCACACCAGAAGCCCGTGGCTTGTTTGAGCTGTGCAGACTGCATTCCCATCCTAACAGAACAGTGTGCCCTGCATTGGGCCGGCGGTCAGCCTACCCCCTGCCCAGCATGAATAAGGTCAGTGACCACAGCCCACAGCTTTTCCCCACAAGAAGTCTCCTTTCCCTGTCTTAAGAGATTAGACATGCAACATGTCTAGACGAATTTTGTCACCTACCCTCTTCCCCCCCCCCCCCAGTCCTCCATACCTGTCACCTGAACTATGGTCCAGCCACACCCTCAGGCTTGCTGACCTGAAGCTGATCCTTCACCCTTCTCCTCCTGTGTGTAGCTGCTCGGTCCTGAGATTCTCCCAGAACACTATTGTCTTTACTGTTTTTTCTTGATTCTGCATCATGGACTGGCATCTGGCATGCTCAGCCTGCATTAGAAGAAACATAATAACTTCTAGCCAATCACTCTTCTCCATCCCTATTTCAATTAATCATTGACTAATATGACTGTTTATTTTGTTCTGATCTTGTCATTCTTAGGCTCTGAAACCTTCATGGCACCCTAGTACTTAAAAAATAACCATCCAACTCAATGCCAGTGGCTCATGCCTGTAATCCTAGCTGAGACCCAAGGATCATGGTCTGGAGCCTGCTCAGATAGACTAATTGGAGAAACTTCTATTTCTCTGGCAAATAAACAGAAAGGGAGATGTGGCTCAAGTAGCAAGCCCTAGTTATGAGCAATAAAACCAAGTAAGTGCATAAGACCCTGAGATCAAGCCCCCTAGTACAGGGGAGGGGAAAGGAGGGAGGGAGGAAGAGAGAGAGAGTAGAAATCCAGTTCTTTAGCCTCTCATGCAAGGCCTCTAACTGGCTGCAGACAGCTTGTTCAAACCCTTCACCCTTTGCTCCTTATCTACACTCATGTTGCATTCTGCTGAATGCTTTCAGGTGCATGCAGCTTGCTTTTGTTGTTGGTTTTGAATGGTACTGGAGTTTGAACTCGGGGGGTCTCATCTTTGCTCTATCATTTAAGCCACACCTCTGTTCCCTGCTTTGTATTTTACCATCTTGCTGATTCTTGATTCCCTCTTCCACTTACTCAAGAAGCTGGATTCTATCTTTCCTTCTAGAGCCACATATCTCAGAAAGGATCCCCAAGCCAGGAAGCTCAGAGACCCCTCATCAAGCTCTCTCTCTCTCTCCTACAAATCTTTCTGTGTCTTGTCTTAAAGGTCATGTCTATCTGTTCTATAAGAGAGGGCATCAGTCCCTGGGAAGGCCAGAAGTGTGTGTGAATCCCTCATCCTGCTAGGCCTTGTGTGTCAGCGATGACCCACAAAGTGTTTGTTGAATGAGTAAATATGTTGGTGGTGTAACTGTTTTAAAGAGAGCATGATCAAGGAGCCGTGGGATATGCCAGCAAGCGGAGTCAGGACAGCAAGTTAGTTTACAAAATAAAAGAGGCAGGGCTCAGTGACCCTGGCCACTCAAGAGGCAGAGATCAATGCTGGTTCTAGGCCAGCACAGCCCCCCCCCCCACAGATGTTTAGATGACCCCACCATAACCAATTGGCTTTTCATCCTATGTGAAATATATGGAATATATATATGTGGAAATATAAATAGGAAAATGGAGGTCAGGCTAGCCTGGGTATAAAACCTATTTCAAAATTAATCTAGAACTGAGGGCCTGTGGTTCAGGTGGTAGAGTACCTTCCCTGGCAAGCACAAGATCCTGAGTTCTAACCAAGAGAGAAGAACGAGGAGAGAGGAAAGAGAGCGCTTCCAGACTCTGAACACCATGCTATGCCCACTCAGTCTGTTGTATTTCTGCTGTATTCCCAAGTCTTGCTAACAGGACTGGTACGTTGTAGCCACTATGGAAACTGTTGAACACATGCTTGCATGCATGCATGCATGCATAAATGAAAGAATGAAAGAAAACAGAGAGCTGATGACCCAGGCCATCCCTCCCTGCTAAGAGTGCTCCTCCCTCACAGCCTACATTAGCCTTGGCCCCTAGGAGTAGCCATCTCTTCTCTCCTGCCTCTCCCCCATCGGCAAGAGAGAGAGGGGGCACCTGGCATCTCTGGCTCCAGCGGCACCTTCAGGATCAGGGGCAGTGTGGCCACTTTTATGTCATGGGGCTCCCTGTGGGGTCACTGTGCCTAACCCAACTTCTCCAGATGTAGTAAGCACCTCACACCTGTCACCTCTTTCTATCCTTCCCCAAGCCTGGATGGGAATTCGTGGCACCCCTGGTTTACAGGTGAGTACAGAAGGGCAACCCAGATCTAAAGCCAGGCTCGGGCAAGAGCCTTCTACTGTGAGGAGGAGGTGCTCAGGGTGCAACCCTTGGACACCCATATTCCTCCTGAACATCCCACAGACCTGGGAATAACAAAGTGATCCAATATGCTCTTCAGCTACGCAATGGCTGAGCCACATCTGAGTGTGAATACACACCCACCCCACCCCCGCCTGGAAAGACAGGACCAGGAGAGCTTTCCCCCTCTCCACAGCTACTCAGCATTTGCCAAAGCCGGCTGTCAAGGTGCAAGAAAAGCAAATGAGGATGCTAGCGGCCCCTTGTGGGAAATGTTAGGCATTGCAAGAAATTCCATTTCGGCAACTCAGGCATTTTTCAACCAACTGAAATCACAGTATTGTCTCATACATGCATCTTTTATGCCTTAAAAAAATGCATGCATACACATATTTCTGTTGGAATTAGAAAATTGTAAATTCACTTAAAATAAACTTGGTGTGTTCTTTCAATTAATATAAAGACACATATAATTACCCTAAAAGAGCAGGAAGAGCAAGGCACGGGTGGCCATGCCTTTACCCACCCTGGCTACTCAAGAGGCTGAGATCTGAGATCATGGTTCCAGTCCATGAGACTCTTATCTCCAGTTAACCACCCAAAAGCCAGAAATGGCACTGTGGCTAAAGTGGTAAAACATTCACCATGAGCACAAAAGCTCAGGGACAGTACCTAGGCCCTAAGATCAAGCTCCAGGACAGCACAAGCACACACACACACACACACACACACACACACACACAAATGAGACCATGCAATGTTTTTAGGGTTGAAGGTATGGCTCAGGTGATAGAACATTAGCCAATGAGCAAAAGCATCATATCAAGAGTTCAAATCTGCTGGGCATCAATGGCTCATGCCTGTAATCTTCACTACTCAGGAGGCTGAGATTTGAGGATCAAGGTTCAAAGCCAGCCAGGCAGGAAAGTCTGTGAAACTCTTATCTCCAGTTAACTACCAGAAAACCAGAAGTGGCGGGTTGCCAGTGGCTCCTGCCTGTAATCCTAGCTACTTAGGAGGCTGAGATCTGAGGATCACGGTTCAAAGCCAACTGGGGCAGGAAAGTCCGTGAGACTCTTATCTCCAATAAACCACCAGAAACTGGAGTGGCGCTAGAAGTGAGCAGGAAGCCTAAAACATGTCTAGAGGTCTCCAAGAGCTGGGCCAGGAGCTCAGAGTTACAACACCTGCCCAGCAAGCACAAAGCCAGGGATTTTCTGGTGTGTTTTCCAGTGTGCCTTGCATCCTGGGCAAAGCCAGGGCAGGAGGGAGAGGTCTGTATCCCTGCTGACACTTGCAGTGGAGAAGCAGCACCCGCTTCTGGGCGCCATGACACAGGCAGTGCAGTTGAGCGGCTGTGTGAACACGGCTGCGTGCTCCCTTCCTGTGATTTATGTGACGCTGCAGTGGGACCTTTCTCTCCCCAATTTACGACCACCTGTCCTGGAAAAGAGCATAAATTACAGAGAAGACACCTACGCTGGCTGCGCTGTCTCCCCGGGTATTACAAGCAATTAGGGCTGGGACTGTTGAGCTGCATAAAGCCTGCAGAAGCTCCTGGGGATGTGGGGAGCCTTGTGGGACCCTCCCCCACCTCTTGCCCGGCTCTGTGTTTGGGGTCAATTCGTCTCCTTCTATAAACACAGCGTCCCAGAGGAGAGACTCAGAGAGTGGAGTGGAATTCTTGGGGTGAAGAGTGGATGGCTGCTTTTACCTGACTGATTGTTCTAGCATTAGCCATGAGTTCATAGGACCGTGTGGTGTGGGGATGCCATTTCTGCAAGAGCATAAACTTTCCAAATCTACTGGGGGAGGATTTCTGAGACCAAGAATGTGTTGGAGGAGGGGCAGAGAACATGATAAATAAATAGGTATGGCCATCCTTTCTCCAAAGCACTTTTGATCTACACACACGACCAGCAAGCTCTGCCTTGTCTACCTTACTCTACACAAAACCCACAGAGCCTAGCTGAACGGCATTCGGGGATGGCTTCGACACACTGGTCTCTGGGCTCCCACATTAGAGCTCTTTCCACTTCCTGCTGGCTCAGCTCTATAGCTCCTTTGTCACCATGGAAACCAGGAAGAGGGGATTCTTGTTTGGCCTGACATGGAGTAGGCACATGTCTAGCAATAGCCATGGTGTGTCATCGATGCTTCTCACAACTCGTCTCCTCTCACAGTAACCTATCACACAGTGCACGGATCTCACAGTGTCCACCTCCAGTGCTCAGTGGATGTGTGGAACTGGTACAAGTACTGGACTCTTTATTTACTTATTTATTTTGCAGTGCTGGGGGTCGAATCCGGGGCCTTGCACAAGGTACATTATTCACAACAAGGAAAAGGAAAAAGAAAAGCCAAGGGTGTGGTTCCTTAAGTTGGTCCATATACCCCTGTTTGAACAGTCCTTTGAACTCATGGCTAATGCTAGAACAATCAGTCAGGTAAAAGCACTCCAAGAATTCCTCTTCCCTACGCCCCCCTTTTCACCTCGATTCCTTGCACAGTGCCTTGTCTGACTCCATTCGGCCCTCCTTTTCTGGGGCAGGAAGCCCAAGTCCTCAGTGGCCATCTGCTTATTCAGATGTCACTACCCCCTCCCCCCCCATAGCCACAGGTGCTAGCCAGGGAGGGTGGGCCCAGGCCTGGCACTCAAGGGGGCCACGCCAGCCAGGGTGGCAGCACTTGAAACAGAGCTTCAGCTTCCACAGGACAAGGGCCAGATTGTAGCTTATGAGAAGCAGAATGAGCAGAGGAGGAGGAGTACTGACCAGAGAAAACTAACCTGCTCCCCTACAAGCGCCAGCCGTGAGTCGGGCGTAGGCAGGAAGAGGAGGCCGCAAGGACCCACGGTCCCAGAAATGACTCCTGCCTCTCCAGCCCCAGGCATGACTTCTGCTCAAGGAGGTCTTAGGCTTTGCTCGGAGGGCATCCTGCCTGCCCTACACCCAGAGATACCAAGTCAGGCCCAGAGGCTGTGGGGAGGAGATCTGACACTCTACCTGCATCAGCTAATGTGGAAGGGACCAATGAGAAGCGTCCCTCATTCACTCTTTCTGCTTACACTGAGCAATAAATATCACTGCTACCCCAAGTAATACAGCCAGCTGTGAGAAGCCACTGCTGTGCAATTTTACCTACCTCTTTAGTGTTTCCAGTGGCTCCTTCCTGCTCATGACACACCTGTGTCCAGATCCACTGTGGTAAGAATGTACCTGGACACACACACACACACACACACACACACTCACACACACACACAGCACACAGAGAGGACAGAGCAGTGTGGCCTCGCCTCCCTCCCCCACCTCAGCAGGGGCAGGGAAGAACCTGACCTGGTACAAGCCGTTACCCTCTTCAACTCCATGTCCCCAATAAGAACCTTGCCCCAAGAATCCTAAGAGGAAAAAGCATAAATCCATGTGAATACCTCTGGGCCCTGGCCATAACACACTTGTGCAAGGGACTTCCCAAGAGTCACAACTAAGAGTATCGTGTAGGTCAAAGAGGGTGGACGTCGATCTCAGTCCCTAGAGGTCAGTGGATGCCCACACACCCGCATGTTCCCTGCGACGTGTCTGCTGCCCAAGATGAAATATCTCTATGCCACGTGTACAACTATCATGGAAATGCACCCCAAAAGGAAATGGGTCATATCCCACCCCTGGGGAGTTAGAAGAGGGGCCATGGACCCCGTAGAGGGGATTACTGATCATTCTAGAGTGCATCAGCTCTTTAGTGCAGGCCTGAGGGTACGTGGATTAAGAATCATATATCAGCTGGGCATGGTGGCAAATACCTCTAATCTCAACATTCAGGAGGCTAAGGCAGGAGGATTTTGAGTTTGAAGTCAGACTGGGCTACGTAGAAACACCCTGGTAAATTTCCACTGGCCAGATAAGAACAAATCAAGAAAAGGACCTGGTTTCTGGGTGAGGAGAATATTTACAGGGGTTCCCACCACTCCAGACAAGGTCTCTCTCCAAGCACTGGGTCTAGGAGCAGGACAAATCAAGTTAGTGGACTGAATCCTTCAGATTGAGCTAGGAGTCAGGACATTCAAGTGTGCAAACTCAAAGATCCATAAGTATGTACACAAAAATCCCAGGAAGATAGAGAAAGGGTGGAGGGGTCCTGAGTATAACCAAATGTTATATTCATGCATGAAAATGCCACAAGAAACCAGTCCTTTATAAACCCATTAATTAAATAATATGCTAGTATGAAATGTTCTAAAAATTTCTAGAAAACTTGAGAAAAGGCATTAGAAGGCAGTGTGGTATTGTTGGTTTAACTGCAGGCAATAATCAGAGGATCCCATTCAGACTGGTCTGCCAGGAAGGGAGTTTTATGGACCAGGAGAGACTGGAGGTGAAGAGAGTCCATTGAAGGAGGGCAGAAGTTGAGATCAAGGGCAGGGAGAGGTGTGGCTCCGTGGGAAAACACAGGCTTAGGATGTCTAGGGCCTAGGGATCAATCCCCAGCACCAAAGACAAAAGAAGGATGGACTCTGTGAGAATAAAGGTACAGAGCACTACAGCTCTGACAGACCCCAAGGACCCTCTCACCCATCCGGGGGGAAGCACAGACCCTGAAGGCTAAAGGCAAAGCCATACAGGGTGAAACAGAACTGCTATGTCCTTTGCAGACCACAAGCCTCAAGATAGCTGCAGCCTCAGAGTTTTGACTCCTACATCGTGTGTTACTCATGAGATACATATATATATATATATATATATATGGTATATATATGGTATATATATATATATATGGTATATATAATATATTTATATATATATGGCATGATTTTTATTTTATTTTGCTTGGCGTTGGGCTTTGTTTGGTTTTAAATTACAATCCGGGTCCCTTTCGCTGTGTATTTTTTTCAAATCCACAATGGCAGATTAAAGCAGCCAGACTGTGAACATGTCTATGAACATTTCTCCACCAGGGGGCACTGCGGTCATAAATAGTACCTATTTAAAAAGTACAAAAGTAGAGAGATGAAAGTTTCTTTTAGGGAATTTATTATGAATTAGGGAAGTATTTCCAGAAATCCTTCAATGGGAAATTAAAAACTACTGTGGAATAAGTCGTTGAAAGTTAAGGTAAAAAAAAAATCCCACCATATGGTAAGTACCTGCATGGTGAAGGGGTGGAAAGGGATAAAAGTCACACCTATGGAACTTCCGCTAGGGCTCAGCCTGGAGGAGGTGGACTAAAGAGGGGACATGCTGGTATCGGGAGGGATGCAGGCACAGTACCGTGTGGCCTGACTCTAGCTGTCAGCCAAATCCCATGGCAGGTAGCTTTCAGGCTTGGCTCCCCTTGGACAGGGGTGAGTTTAGGTTGGCCAAGAAATTGTATTTTTGGTTCTAAGCCCTGTGTGAGTTTGAACTGTTTACAGAAAATAAAGATTGGCAAAGCAAAGTGTAGCAAGAATAGAGAGGAAACTGAGCAAGTGGGAAGTTTGGACCTTCTGGAAGATGCGGAGCCATGGAAGGCGTTTGAGTGTAGCAGTCACACTGCTGAGAGGAAGAGTTCACACTGGTACCCTGGGTGGGCGGGTACCCTGGGTGGTACCCACAGAGGTACCATCAGAGAGGGGAGTCGCTATGGCCTGGCCTGGGAGGGGCAGGGCACAGAGAGGAGCAAGAAGCACCTCTCGAGCTCTAAGCCTGGCTGGAAGAAAAGAATGCAGCGCCTTGAAAAGTGAAAGCCAGGAGTCTGAGCATCCTGGAGGGGACATGACAATGACCCTGTGTCTGCTTCCTCAACAGACCCCAGGCCTGCCGAGGGAGCCCAGGGTGGCAGATGGTGGCATTGAAGGAGTTGATGTGATACAAGAAAGGGAGAAAGAAGAAGGGGATCCACAGAATTTCAGGGAGCCCCTGGCTTGAATGATGAGTTAGGACAACTATCACAGAAGCAAGGGATAGAGTGGGACTGGGTTGAGGGTGGAAACAAGGAGGAGCAGTGGCGGCGACCTGGAAGGGAACAAACAAGGACAAGACCCAGTCACCGAGACCGGTGAGGGGCAGGAACATGGGACACAGGAGAAAGAGAGGAAAGAAAGGCTGGTTCAGAGTTCCGGGCTTGAGCAACTGGAAGTCAAAGCTGTCATGTGCTGCAGTGAATGGGCAGGACTTGCGGCAGAGACTCCACCCTCAATTCTGGACATCCTGAAGTTGGGCTAGACCTCCAAGAGGAGAGACAGAGAAGACAGAGAGTTCGGGGGTAGGCATATGAATTAGGAACTCCTTGGTGCAGAGGTTTTGAAAAACCACAGAGCAGAAGCATGCATGTGGACAGATGGGCTGGAGCGCCTGGCTCAACCCAGAGCTCACGCCTCCTGCCCTGTTGCTATTAAGAAAATCGTGTGGATGGCTTCTCACCTCCATCCAAGCCTCATGGAATTGGACTTTGGTTATTGTAGGAACATCAGTGGTTTTTCCCATTGCGTGTGTGTGTGTGTGTGTGTGTGTGTGTGTGTGTGTGTGTGTGTGTGTGTGTGTGTGTGCTCTCCTGTGCTCAATTCCCAGGGTCTGTAAACCACCAAGAGAAGGGGTATTAAAACAAACCAGGCCAGCTCAGCCATGGTGTGGTATCAGCAGCCACTGGCAGAGAGAAAATGTTTCTAGTTAGGATACACATCGAGACAGAATGGTAAAGGGGGTTATAGAATTAGATCTAATCCAAAGAAATCTCCTAGATCTAATGCCCTGCTCTCCACCCCTCTCATCTCAAAATACTTCCACATGACCCTGCTGCCCAGATGGAAAGCATGCCATCCCCTGGGCGGGGCAGAAAAGGGGAAAGAATGCTTGGAGTCAGTGTCTGTGGCCAGGGGAAAAGCTGTGGTTTGAGCCTCCACTCAGATTGTAGAGCGACGCAAATGCTACTGCTGACCTCTGCAGTCTACTCCACCTCTTGGAGTTGTCCTAAACTGCTGTCTACCTGACAGTCCTCGCTCTCTTCCCAGAGGAGGCCAAGTGAAATGCTCTACATTTCTCCACTTGCAGGAAACAGAGGCTTTAAGGCATTCCAGGACCTCTCCATGTCGTGTTGGACAGCCACTTCCTGAAACAGGTGGATTAGGGTGTAGGTGTCCCGACCTCCTGTAGGCCTTAGGAGCCTCAGGGCTTCACTGGCCTGTGGTATAAAAAGCCAGCTCCTCTGCTTCTCCCTGGGTGGGGATCGCCCTGGCCCAGGTGTCTGACCTCCCAGTGCCTCTCTCCGTCCATGCACAGCAGGGAGAAATCCCTTCAGCCTGTGGAACTACTGTGAGGAACACAAGCACTCCGTGAGACCCTTGACAGCTCTTTTCTCTTTTCCTGGACCAGAAAAACCTCCAAAGGAACAGTCTCCTGGTTACAGCCCTGGGAGAGAAATGTCAATGAGTTACTCTAAGCCAACCCCTCATTCTTTCCTCTGCTGAAGCTTGGCTGACCCAGAACAGAGGTGAGCAAGGATAGGCAGCTTCCTCGTCCACACAAGAACCCTGAGGCACAACCTGACCCTAGGTCTTGGGGTGCTAATGCACAGTTACCCACTTTACACCAGGAACATCTCTGACTTCCCTAGAAGAAATGCTCATGGTTGGAAAGTTGGGAGAGGTTTTTGTTTAGACAGTTTTTTGGGTGCTAGTCCTGGGGCTTGAACTCAGGGCCTGGACTATGTTCTTGAGGATTTTTGCTCAAGGCTAGTGCTTTGCCACTTGATCCTCTCATACTGTAATCCTAGGCAGACATAAGCACCAATATCACTGCTGAGTATGCACAGCTTCCTCCACACCCCAAGGCCACTAACTGCTGCCTCCATGGCAGATTAAAGAGATTATATCAAGGCCATTGCAAAGGTAAGCTTGTGGCCGGAATGACACTGACCACTAGATACCTGCTCGAGTCTTCACGCAGAATCACATGAGGGCTGAGTGGGAGCAGCATGGGGAGTGTTTTAGGATAGGCCCACCAAGCTCAAGGAGAATCACTACTCCAAACACCCTCCTACCCTCCCCAACCCCAACACCCGCCCCCAGCAGCCATGTTCCACTACATTCCCCTTTCTCAAAAGAGCCCCAACTAAATAGGGAGCCCATGTTTAACAAGACCCAGTGCACGCTCCCTTGGTTCCACAGGTGACACAGATCACAAACGGCAGACCAAACCAGTTTGGCTCCAAGGTGAATCTGCCTCCTCAGGCTGATTTTACAAGGTAATCACTGCACAGTCCAGTCAATAAGCATTTCACCCTTTCAAAGAATTTTATCTGACAGCCAAGACTCTTAAAAGTAAAAATAGGGGCTGGGAAGGTGGTTCAGTGGTAGAGTGCTTGCCTTGCATGCATGAGGCCCTGGGTTGGATTCCTCAGCACCACATAAGCAAAAAGAAAAAAGCTGGAAGTGGTGCTGTGGCTCAAGTGGTAGAGTGCTAGCCTTGAGCTGAAGAGCTGAGGGACAGCGCCCAGGCCCAGAGTTCAGGCCCCATGACCGGACCCCCCCCCCCAAAAAAAAAAGGAAAAGTAAAAAAAAAAAGGAAAAGAAGCAGAGAAGAGACAGCATTACCTCTGCAAAAACATCACACCCTGAAATTACAACACTGGGCGGGAAGTTAGAGGCCTTTACTTTCTTCTCTAGCCTGGAGTTGAGATCGGCCAGTGACACCTCAGACAGCACCAAGAAGGAGCTGGCATCTGAGTAGGCAACCTAAGGAAACACAGAAATCTCATACAGGGTCCAAAGCCTTGTTCATGGAAACCCCTCTCCCTAGTCTCTCTTTCTTCCTCTCCCTCCTTTTCTTCCTTCCTCCCTCCCCCTTCTTCCCTTCCCCTCTCTCTTCCTAGGAAAGTTACAGCTTCAAAGCCTACACTGGTAGCCTCTCAGAACTGCACTGTAGCATGAAGGGAACATGGCCTTGGAGTCCTTTAGCTCTCCCTAGCCATGAACCTTGGGACATCACTTCACCTTCTGAAGCCTCCAATATCTCCAGTGTTTAATAAATTGGCCAAGTTTGATGGCCTCATTATATTAGATCAAAATATTCACTAACTGTATGGGGAAAGATCTTTGATGGACCCTGAAAGTTAGCGTGGGGTACTTTAGATGATCCTAATTTTTGTAATAGTGCAAGTAGTACAGTGCACCTGCAGCCTTAAGAAAAGTTCTGTGTGTGTGCATGAGTGTGTGTGTGTGTGTGTGTGTGTGTGTGTGTGTATGTGCCCTTGGTATTGCCACTGGGGGCTTGAGCTCAGAGTCCCTTAGCTTATTCACTCAAGGCTGGTGCTCTACCAGTTGAACTTCTACCAGCTCCACTTCCAGATTTTTGGTGGTTAACTGGAGATAAGTAAGAGTTTCATAAACTTTTCTATCCAGGCTGGCTTTGAACCATGATTCTCAGATCTCATAGCTAGGATTATTGGCATGAGCCATCCGTACCTGACAAAGCCTGGATTCTTTATTGTTTGCTTTTATTAAACAACAACAACAACTGTATTTGGGGGGGGGGTCTTTTCTTTTTTGATATTAGGCATTGAACCCAGGATGTTGCACTTGCTAGGCGAGTACTTTGCCACTGAGCTACATCCCAGCCCAGCCTGGGTTCTGTAAAGGCCTGTGTAATCCCTTGAGGTCTGTGGCCATCCCTTGTGTCCACTCCAGCTTGCACAGCTGTAATCTGACAGGCAGTGGAAACAAACTAAAAACTCTGGGCCCCATGCACATCATAATTCTGTCTGCCGAAATGACTCGGTTTTACACGCTGATGTAAAACACAGTTAAACCTCCATGCGCACCAGAATGAGTACCCATATGCATAACAGAGTAGATGCTCTTGGGTAAAAATGCCAGGGCCCGCTGGGAAAGCAAGCACAAATACTGCACCCCACACAAGGGCTTTTTTCCTGCCTGTTGCTTGTCTGAGTAACCCAGGGAAAAACCGAAGCTCTGAGTTCAGAAGGTGCTGCCTCTGTCTGAGCTGCTGAGAGAGACAGCTCTTATCCCCCACTATCCCCCACACCTCCCTCCCCAGCAAGCCATGCCTCTTACGGAACAAGTCCTTCATTTGGTAAGACCCTCATGGTCTCCTGTGGGCTTGACGTGCACCAGGCCATAGCGCTTGGTCCTAAAGAAGCTGATTATCCACCTTGGCCACACCTCCAGGCCATGGACTCTGCAGGAGGCGGCGGGGCAAACGTCAAGCACAGCTCTGAGGGTGATTCAGAAAAGATAATTCAGCCGGGCGCTGGTGGCTCACGCCTGTAATCCTAGCTACTCAGGAGGCTGAGATCTGAGGATCTCGGTTCAAAGCCAGCCTGGGCAAGAAAGACCGTGAGACTCCTATCTCCAATAAACCACCAGAAAACCGGAAGTGGCGCTGTAGCTCAAGTGTTAGAGCACTCGCCTTGAGCTGAAGAGCTGAGGGACAGCACCCAGGCCCAGAGTTCAAGCCCCACGACCGACAAAAAAAAAAGAAAAGATAATTCAGACGATTCAGGAAAAGCTGCAGCATCCTAGCTGGAGCATTATTCATCACAGGATGGCATTTTCTCCAGCCCATTTAACCCCAAATGAAATAAAGCATTCATGCTGAAGCTCTACCGTTCCCACTGTAAAACCTGACTGAAGCTGGTGTGAAGGCTTACACCTCTAAGCCCAACTACTCCATAGGTGGGGACTTGGGAGAAGCACTGCTTGAAGCCAGCTAGGAGCAAAGAGTTAGACACCCCCCCCCCTCCCCCCCCCCCCCCCCCCCCCCCCCCCCCCCCCCGTCAAATCAATGAACCTACTGTCACAGGCTACTAGTCCCAGGTATGTGGGAGCCTTTCAGAAAGAGGACTGCATTCCAAGGCAGGTCCCGAACGAAAAACAAGAGACATTACCTGAAAAATAAAGCAATAGGTGGCCTAAGTACTACAGCAACTGCCTATTATTTCAAATACTAGCTCTGAAGCATAGTTGAAAGAAATTCGGGCTCTCTCTGCTCTTTTCTAGCTCTTTCTCAGCTCTTTCCTTCTCTTCTCTTTCCCAGCTCCCTTCTCTTTTCTAGCTCTCTCTCTGCTCTTTTCTAGCTCTTTTCTAGCTCTTTTCTCTCTCTTTCCGGCTCTCTCCCTTTCCCAGCACGTGCAGTGCCACCTTGCCTGGTCCCAGCAGCCTACTGAATACACCTACCCCTTACCTGAAAAAAAAAAAGAAATTTGGGGAGGATAAGTGAGACCATGTATTGGAAATGTGCTGAGCTTTCTAGAAGAAAATGAATATGCCCATGTACGTGATCATATAACCTGATCATTCCTGACCCTCAACTGGAGAACAACCTGAAATCTTCATTAACGGGTCCAGTTCCACATACATAGCACAGTGATCATGAGCAGCAGCTGACCTGAAAATGGTCTATCAGGGCACTGGAGGTATAGCACAAGCAGTAGAGTACCAGCCATAAGCAAAAGTGTTCTAGAAAATCTGACACAGATAAGAAGTGACTAGGAGCTGGGCACCAGTGGCTCACATCTGTCATCCTAACTCAGGAGGTAGAGACCTGGAGGATTATGATTCCAAGTTAGAGTATACAGAGATGTCCTTGAGACTCCATATCTAAAATAACTAGCAAAAAGCTAGGCTGGAGGCATGGCTCAAGGGGTGAGCCTGAGTAAGAAAACTAAGTGACAGCACAAGGTTCTGAGTTCAAATCCTAGTACCAGCACAAAAGATTTCACTTGGATCTCAGCCTCTTGTGTAGCTAGGATTATAGGTATGAGCCACTAGCACTGGGCTAAAAGTTTGTTATTTGTTTTTAATAAAGCAGAATCAATATTAAGGCAAACATTAAGTAGAAGTACAAATAGTTTGTGGCTTGACCTTATCATGGCCATGTCTAGAGAATTAGGAGAAAATCTCATCACCAAACAACTAGTCTTTTTGTCTTACTTTTCCTGGATCAGGATGAAGCAGAAATTCCTACATAAAACAAACACATGAAAACTCATACATCCAAATGAATTCTACCTTCCAAAGTGGCCATCTCAGGAAGTAGCATCAACATCCTAACTTAACACATTACTTTCAAGTCTAACCTCATCTTTTAAACCTTAAATAGGTTGATCACGTCTGTAGCCACAGAACATTTTGCTTTTTTTTAAAAGAAAACTCAAATTAACCATTAAGAGGGGGAGATTTCCCTCTCCCTCCTCCCCCTCCTTTCTTTCCCTCTCCCTCTTTTTGTTCTTCTCCTTTTCCCTTTCCTCTTTCTCCTCCCTCTCCCTCTCCCCTCCTTCTTCCCTTCCCTCTCCCCCCCTCCTTTCCCTTCCTCTCTCTCAGTTAATGACTAAAGAGTGAATTTCAGAAACACCTTGAACAACATCAGCATTATTAAAATATGTATAGAGACAGCCTTTTGGAAACCTCTTTGCTGGTTGTAGGGTCCAGTCTTTTACGTGGACATTGTCCCAAAGAATCCAAGCCAAAACACAAAACAATCGGAATGTTCCTCTGACTTCTGACAGAGATGATGCAGGCATGGTTTGAGGACAGTGCGAAGTGACCGTAAGTGGTGACATTAGTGGTAGTCGGTCTGTGAGACTGAGGAACACCTCCATTATGAAAGCAGCTGTGCCAGCAGGAATCATGACCCTTCAAAGTGAACCCAGGGCCCCAAGAGCTCATCAGGAATCTTCGGGAAACAGGCTGAAATTCCAACTCTGTCACACAAGAGTGACTCAAGCCAACCAGAGCTCAGTGGCTCTTGAGATCTTTGCTCTAGAGGTGCTCACTAACAGAGTCTAAGTCTTCCAAAGTGTTGCAAGTTACGGTAATATGCCTGGTTGGGGCATGGACCAGGAAGGCCTCCTGTAGATCTGTGGAAAAAATGTCCTACAGCACCAAGGAATTTCAATAAAACGAAAAAGAATGTTGTATACATGTGTGCTTGCAGAGCTTGAGGATCCAATCCAAGGCCTCAGACACTGGAGGCAAGCATATTACCACTGAGCCACCACCCCAACACCTTCCAAACAGTTAATTATAAGAAAGTGTAGGTAAATATTTAGTCAGGGCAAACAAGCAAATCAGATAGGGAGGAACAGGAGATACAAATTCTGATTGACATAGCTCAAAAGTTTACCTCTGACAATCAAAATGGCAAATTAGCAAGAAGTTTGTTCATAAAAAAAAGCATGATACTTTTGAACACAGTGGTTAGGGTGCAATTAGATATGTTCATACACTGATCGCTGTGTAACTTAGCAAAAAATTTCTATAAACCAATTTAGCAACCTATATCAAAACTGGGGCTGGGAAGGTGGCTCAGTGCTGGAGTGCTTGCCTTGCATGCATGAGGCCCTGGGTTCAATTCCTCAGCACCACATAAGCAGAAAAAGCCGGAAGTGGCGCTGTGGCTCTAGCTGTAGAGTGCTAGCCTTGAGCTGAAGAGCTGAGGGACAGTGCCCAGGCCTAGAGGTCAGGCCCCATGCCCAACACAAAAAAGGAAAGAAAGAAAAGAAAAAGAAACAAAACTGGCTGAGTGCCAGTGGCCCAAAACTGTAAGCTACTCATGAGGCAGAGATCTGAGGATCACAGTTCAAAGCCAGCCTGGACAGAAAAGTCCCTGTGAAACTTTAACTACTCAAAAACTGGAAGTGTCCCCGTGTCTCAAGGTGGTAGAGCACTAGCCTTGAGCAAAAGAGCTCAGGGACAGTGCCCAGACCCTGAGTCCAACCCCTAGGACTAAAA